TTAATCTTTAAAACTAATAATTTTTTTAAAATTAATTAGGACCAATTAGGACCAATTAGGACTTTTACCAACCCTAACAACAATCCAATAAATACCAAAAATTTTTAGAAATGCTTTCAAAATATTATAACCTACAATATCTTCATTAATAATAAATGCTAATAAATGCTAATAATAAATACTAATTAATTATTATACAATTGATAATTATAACTTTTTAACTATGCAGTCACGTAAATTTTAACCAATAAAATTACAAGATTCTCTAGTCATGTGATCAAAGATTGACATCTCAAATTTGGCCGCTTAAAAATTTTGTGATTGGGACTAAGTTGTATGCACTGTAGCATATTTCATATAAAACAATTTAGAATAATACATTAAATTAGTATTACAAGGATATGATATTCAAGAAATAACTTTAACTCTGAAATATCTAAATTTATTTTAAGTCTTTAATGTAATCTTCTTTAGAATGCAAGTTCCTCTTCACTAAATTTACAAGCTTTATATTACTCATGCTTCTATTTATTTTTTATTAGATTATTTTATTATTATAACTATAAATTAAAAGCATTTTAGCATATTTTTCATAAGTAGTTATTTCTGATAATTTCTTGATAAAAGCTAACCTATGCTCATTATACATTAACCAAAAATAATAAAAATTAAATATTGCACTTTTTTAATAATAATATTAAAATCAATGCCATTTGAATTATAAACATTTTCATCTATAAATAAATTTATAAAAGAGGAACTGTAATTCCAAGTATTACTTTTAATAGTATAGTATGAAAGTGGTAAACATCAGACATTATTGTATTATTAGTATACCTTTTTGAGTAAAGTTATAATAGTTATCTAATTGAGTATCATCAGATCATTTATCTATAATAATATTATTATTTATTAAAATTAATACAATTAAAGTTTTATAATAATATTTTAAAAAATTATACTTATATATTTTGATACAAATGTTTCTACTATTTCAGTATAAATTGATACTTGCTTTTTTTATATCTTGCTATAGTTTTACATTTAATACTGATATCTGCTTTCACAAATATTTCAATTGCTAAAGCTGATGCATCTGCATTGTCTGCATCATTTATATATTTCTAATATCTATTTGATTCTATTAATAAACTTATTACTTAAATTTACTAAAAAATAATAAATAAAATTAAACGTAATTTATTTTTAATATTATTCATATTACTTTTGTTAGATAGGTTAGTTCTAATATAAAGCTAATCAAAAAAATTTGCTAATGATAGTTCTGCATTTTTTAGCTTAAATCTATTGGGATCTAAAATAAGTTTCTTATTTTCTTTTTTTATTTAGCATATACAGTAATATACTAGTCATCAAATAGATCTTTTTATCTAAAGGAATAGATTTTAACAAATAATGATGTTAGCATTTCTTTAGGATATTATTTTACATTTATATGATAAAAAATATATAATATATCTAATTTTGCCTTTTTTAATTCTTTATATATTTCTTGATATATCTTTTTTAGTTCTTTATATTAATTTGCAGTATATAAAACATCACTTCAGAATGTGTATGTTTTATTATGAATTTTTATCAAAGATTTTTCTAAGGTATTCTTGTTATTTGTGTAAGAATAATTCTAATATATCTTATTAATACTACTAGTATATTTGCAATGATTACAAAGTATAGCATTAATTGAAAAATTAAAATATTCAATTAAATAACTAGATGTTTTATCTAATTTTGTATCCTTTGACACAGATACTAAATATTTCCTATTAATTTATTTTAGTGTCTTATACATAAAACTTTTTTTATTAAGTCTAAAAAAAGCTTTGTTTAGGAATTTTACATTTTTTGTTAGAACTGAAATATTATTTAGGTTATTATATATGAAAATCAGGTTTTGATCATATAATTTATATAGTTTTATGATATGATTTTTATACATACTAACTCATTTACAGTGAGAACTTAATATAATAATTGTTGATATAGTAATCACTTAATAAAATCTTGTTAAAATGATTTTTTAAAAATTTTGACTTATATTTGAACATATAAAAATCATTATATAGAACTTATAAATTTTGATAAACTGATTTTTTTAAAAAATTTCATAGTAAACTGGAAGGTTCGCTATATTGAGTTCTGAATTATTGATAATCACATTGGGTTTCATCTCTGTCTTTAAAATAACAATATTATGACTTGAAAATTTGTCTTTTTAAGCTTAATAACCAATTTTAGTAAGATTTTACATAGAATAACTAAATTTCATAATAATAGTAATAATAGAATAATTTAATTATAACAAATAAACTAATATTAATGAAATAATCTAATTAAATTTTTTATCATATGGATTTTGATCTAAAAAAATTAAGTTCTAAGAATTTTTTATTAAAATTGAAATTTTAATTGTATTTTAGTTTTTATTAATTAAAATGTAATAAAATATTAATTTAGTTAAAAATTTTCTTAGAATCTGATTTTCTTAATATTTATAGTCTATAAACATAATTTATGAGTAGATTTCTATAAAAATACTATATTAACATTAAAATTATTTTAATACTAATTTATTATTTTTAATATTTAAAAGGAGATAGTAAATAAACCAATTTATATTTATTAATAATATCTAATTAGTGTTCAACAAATAATATTTATAATCTTCATCAATCTTATTTTAGATTACTAAATATAAATATCTCCCTTTTTAATACAGATACAAACGTTGTTTCAACCATTTTGTCGTTATTTAAATATTTTACTTTTATATGTCAAAAATATGTTTTTCGGTCCGAAGTAACATCCGAATTTACTTATAACAAAGAAGTTTAATTATTTATTTGATTGATCATATATGAATTAGGTATAACTAAGGCGATAATTTTTTTTTGAAACAAAAAATTTATCCTGCATTAAAAACGTTACGCAAGACTTGCTTTCTCAAGCTTAGGTTTTTTTTAGAATTTAATATAATTTCTTTTTATGGTTTGGTTATGTCAAAATTCGGCAATTAAAAATAAATATAGTGTCTCAATTCTTTAAATATACAACAGGTTATACCATAAATAAACTAAAAGTTTTGAATCTCGAGTTCAAAATTGATTCGAAATACGCCCAAAATACTAACAGAAATAATTTTATACAGTGTAATCATTATTTTCTGTTTTGGAATAGTTTTTTTTTTTTTTTTTTAAATAGGACATTTCTCCAGCTAGCAAAATATCAAAAAAATATTTTTTTTTTTCATTGATTCGAGATTATAATATTGATACATTTTAATATATATATCTTGTTAGAGATAAAAGTTTTTTTTTTATAATAAAATAAAATGCGGATAATAGGAACGAATTTATTAACAAACTTATTATCTTTGCTATTTGCAATTATATTATGTGTGTTTCCATTATATACAACTGCACAAAATACAAATGTAAGAATATTTGCCCATGAAGAAACAATAGATTATGGAAAGGACTCATTACCTCGTGTATGGAGACAACGCGTGTACGATGATGGCACAACAGTAGTTAGAATTGTTAGAAGAAATCCTGCAATTCAAGGAGTTTGTTTGATTGAAAAGCTTTTTTTAAGAATCATCCATCTTGATGGAACGGTTGAAGAAAAAGATATTGATTTAGGAATTCAACCATTTAACTATTGTATATTTACTTCTGATAATGCAGGTGTAATTGGGACAAATGTAGAATTTTTAGATTATCATTTGATTCGAAAAAATCAAATTTTAGTTACTTACCATAATGCAACAGATATTAATGATTATTATACATATGAAGAGTGGGGAATGATAATCAATTTTGATGGTAAAGTATTGAATAGAACTCCATTTGGATTCGCTTTCGTTGAACCAGTTACTCAAAAACTTATACCAAATAGTGAGATAAAATTAAATGTTAATCCGGAAAAGGGATTTCTCAGAATTGCTTCCGTTAGAAATACAACTAATGCAGAATGGCAACAATATTTAGTTGAACCTGATGGAGTGATTACAAAATTAACTAGCGGAATGCTTGGATTTGAAAATTTTAATAGTTTAATGTCAACTGTTATCTCAACAGTTGATGAAGGTTACGCTATTGTATTTGCGAATACATCAAGTACAGGATTTAAAGAATCGGATCCATTATCACCATTGGGTCTATTATTTGTTTTACCTATTGGATATAATCAATTGCCGGTTGCACCTTTAGCACTTTATCAAACTTCCGTACAAGTTAATTTTACTTCTTTATTTTGTGATATCTTATCCGTTGGAGTTGGTCAAGTTTGTACTTTGACTGCAAAACAAAAAGATCCTGCAACTTTACAAGACAATGTTTTTTACATTAAAGTTAATTTCTTATCCTCCGGATCAGTTACTTCTTTTAAAGTTATAAATCGATTATTTCCCGCTATCAAGGAACCTGCCATTATAGGTGTAGATTGGGTAGTAGCCAGTTTACCATATGGTGGATATCTTTTATCAAATACTTTTAAAACTACAGGAGTTCAAGGAACTTTAATTTATGGGTTTTTGTTTGGAGAAGATGATGCAAATTATCTAGCTTGGAATTTAGAAGAACCTCAACCATCTAATACAAAAGGAGTATTTTCAGTCTTAAAGAATAATAATACTTTAATGATGGCTCAATTTGAAACTACTAATAGCTGGTCATTTAATGTAATTGATTTGCCTAAATTCTCTGATAGAGATAATGGTTATTCCAATACTAATATTGAAGCAACTTCACCATCGATTGAATCTTCAATAGATCCAGATTCACAGACATATATTAGAATCGATTTTTATGAACAAATTGATTTATCAAATGGTAATATCACAATTTATCAGTTAGATGGTGATGATAAAAAGTTACGACAAATAATTCCTGGTGGCTCGTGTACTATAGATAATGATAGCAAATCCGTTTTTGCTAATGTATTGGATAGTACTTTTAGTGTGCCAAATGGAAATTATTTTATTACATTGGAAAATAATTTTGTTAAAAATAAAGCGTATAAAGAACCTTTATTAGGTATAAGAGAAAATGTTTGGAAGTTTACCACCACTGAAGGAAAGAAAGAAACCTTTGCTTCTTCAACATCCGGTCTAGTTCGTTTAACCGTTGAGGGTACCAAATTTTATGATAATTTATCTTCTGAAGAACAAGCCAAATTTTTCGATACGTTATTAATAGAATTGGCTGCTTCTGTTCCTGTATCTCCATCACGTCTTCATTCAAATAAGAAGATACAACCAGACAATAGTCTAAATGACCATCCATATTTTATTTCTATTGGTATTGAAGAAACTGAGGGCGGGAATGAGAAAAGTGTTGAATCTATTATTAAAATTCTTCAAACTATGATTAATCATAAAGATCAAACTCCAATTGGATTCGGTGATGCCAGTAAATATTTAGACTCCTCTTATGGTTTTAATCCTTCACGTAAGTAAAATATGCTGGTTTGAGGTTTTTTTTTATTTATTATTCACTTACCTGTTTTTTATCTCGATATCATAGCGGATTTATGGGACAAATACAAATATAGATTATTAGGCGTATTCTTAGTTATTGGGCTTTTAATTGTTTTATTCTTATTTGCTCAAAGAAGAGACAGCAAGGTACGCATATATCTTCGTTTTAATGAAATTATTATACCAATTGGTATTTAATTTTTTAAAATTATTTTTAATTTAGGGTAACAATATTGCTATTTTACAACTTGGATTAATTCTTTTCGATTTGATCATGGATATTCTTTTTGTAAGCAACAATGCCAGAGACGTTCCATCGCTTTATATTCCAAGGTATGATGAATTTGTCTTTGTAATTAATTAATTATCATTATTCACTTTCACTAACTTTGATTTTTTTTAATTAGTGTTTTATTTTTAACAATACCAATTGGATTAAATACAATATTAGCTTTTTTTATTATAACGAAAGAAAATGCAAGTTCGAAATTTTACGATTGGTTCACGAATCATGGAAAGGTTGCAAGCGTATTTACGGTATTAGCTGGTGCTGACATCGAAGCATTAAATATTTTACAATCAAATTTAGCAGGTTTGCCATTTTTCAAAGCACCTTTTTCTGATGACGCCAAAACAAAAATATTTTGGAGTGCTTGTTTGAACATTTTTATTGAAGATGTTCCTCAAGTTTTTATTCAAGTAAGTTTTTTTCTTTTATCTTTTTTTTTTAAAAAAAAATAAATATATATATATATTGAAGAATTACTAATCATTGTTCCCATCGATTAGATTTATTATAGAATCAATACTGTGACTTATGATATTATCCCATTACTTACGTTAATTTCTTCAGCACTAAATTTAACAATAAATATAATAGGTAGATTATATCAAGCAACAAATCGTGTACGTCATGGAAAGAATAATAATTCAAATACTTCAGATGAAGAATTTGGTGGTTTAGATAAAATCACCTCTAAAGAAGTACCAAATTCAGTTTCTGAAAGAAATTATTTAGGTGATGGATTAAAATTAGATAATCCTGAAGAATCGTCTAATAATTCAAAAAATAATCAAGGTAATGAGTTCAAAAGAAATCAAAATAAAGGTATATCATTATTAAAAAGAATGGTTAGTAAGAAAGTCTAATGAATTTTGTGATAAAATTAAGCAAAGATATTTTTTTTTTGAATTGTATTTTAATTAATTTAAAGATATATATTATATATAATAAAACCATTATATAGTAATAATAAAATTTATTATTGAAGTATTTACCAATATGAAAGTATGTCTCAAAATTAGAGGTTCGGAATTATTTCATTGCTAATTTGATATAGCAATTCAAACAACAAAGTTATTTAATTTGAATAGTTAATTTTGAATCTCTTTAGGAATATGTGGTTTATGTTTAGCTTGTATACTAAGAAAATGGAACCATTTTAATTCTAAAGCTTAAAATTGTATAGTATTTCATTTGTATTAATAAAATTATGATCTATATTTTTTAATATAAAACTGTTAATATTAATTAAGTTTTATAGAATTTGATTTGATTTTTAAAAATGTTTAAAGATTAGAAATAAGGAGGTTGTTCTAAATTATTAAAAATGATTAATAAAATTAGTTTCAGTTTCAGATAGTTAGAAAATATGTATTTAAAGTTTAAAGATAAATTACTAAAAATAATATAATTTAAAAAAATATTTGAAAATTTAAATGTGATTTGTATTAAAAAGAATTTATTAAAGTAAAAGCAATTTTTACTAAAAAAATTTAATAAAACAAATATATAAAATTTAAAAATAATTTTTTTTATATATTAAAATAAGAATTTAGTTGTAAAATACATATAAATTAAAAATACTTTAACTAATAAAAACATATTTAAATTTACTAAATTCTCTTAAAATTTTACTAATCATATTGGTTATTATAAATATTTATAAAGTATAGTTATATAATTAAATTAATAAATAATTGATTATCAGATAATATAGATCCTTTATAATAAAAAAAATAAATTACAAAAAAATAAAATTTTATTATTTTATATAGTAAATATTAGAGATATAGACTTTACTTTGTTATATATGATTATGATGTGATTATCTTGATATAATATATCAAATTATAATTATATATAAATTTATATGATATGATGAATTGATATGACTTTTAAGAAAATAAAAGTTTGCATTTTTAGTAAATATAATTTTTTTTTATCAAATTTAATATTTAACTAAAAAATTTTTTAAATATTAATATTTATTAAAATTATTTTATATTATCAATATAATCATCAATGTATAAAATCTAAGTTAAAATTTATGTGCACAAGTTGATAAATTATTATTAAAATAAGAAAATCAACAATTATTTATGTAAAATTACCTTTTTTGTATATAATTTATCTATTTTTAGTAATAATTTATGCATATTTTATGTTGTGTAATATATGCATACAAAAAATTAATGTGCACATGAATTTTACATAATAATAATTATTATTAATATATAATAATTTAATTATTATGAGTATTATTATTAATCATTAACTTAAATTAATATAGGTAAAGGATACAGTTAGCATTCAGACTCCTATAGAAGCCTTATCTATAAAATAAAATGAATTATAATAAATTTATGTTTTTACTAGTTACAATTTTTAAATTATAAAATTTTATAAATTTTTATATTAAAATAAATTTATAATAAGTTATAATTACTAAATAATAATTTTATATTTATAAAGTAATTTAATAAATTTTGAAATATGAGAGGTTTTAATAAGCATTTTATTAGATTAATATTTTTATTAAAAAAATAATTATTAAATATATACTATATTCTATATATGAAATCAATGAAAACCCAAAAGTCAAAATAAAAATTATCACAATAAAATATATATGATTGATAACCATATATTATTAGGTCAAGATAGTATTTTCTAATGAGTTAAGGATAATACTTTTGCATTTCGACCATTATGACTTTGAAAGATTCAAAAATTAAAATGTTTTGACCAATTTTGACCAAAAAAATCTCTTATTTTATTGGATTTTATCCAAAACTTTTTATTTTAAAAAAGTTATTTAAAAGCAGCTACAACTTCCCTATAAGAAATCGAAATAAGGAAATGATACGTTTTTTATAAGGTTTGTATACATAATTAATGATTCTATATCAA